TACCGCAACCAAGTCTGAAGCAGTCTCGATGGCACTATTCAAAACACACTCCAACTTCGAAAGCTTCGCCTCCAACTGCCTTGGGGGAGTTTTGTCGTTGATCAAGGAAGCTGTGAGACCCAAGATTCTAGGCTGATCTTCTGCAAAGATAGAATTTCCCGAAGAAGTTGGACTGTATCGAAATAGTGCATAGCTAACCTTCCCGTACTCGCATAAGCCTATCCATGATTACCCGATAGGGGTGCTTCACACCTAGCGCATGATGACATTCATCAAAAATCACAAGAGCCAACCTTGCAATATTGAAATATGCATGATCTATTAAATCCAAGAAGACTTGGGCAGTGATTACAATTACCTAAAACACTGCTTTAAAAAAAAAAGAGAAAAAGGGGGTCCGAAAAAAGTAAAGTGAAAGGGAAGGATGGATTGAAAACTCACATTATGTACAGACATAAATTCATCGAACCCGTCTTGTTTATCCCAGAGATTGCTGTTCAAATTTCCATGCATCTTGCCAACGCTAAGGGTGGTGTGACACTGGATGTGCTCCGCTTGTTGATCAACAAGAGCAACTGAATAGTATGATAGGTTACCAAGTCCAGCTGTGGAAACAAAAACTTAGCAAAGAAAACTTTGATTAAAAAAGGGAATAATCAATAAAAATGAAAAATATATGGAACGACAAGGTAGCACTTTGTTTTGACAATTCAATATTTCTACGTAGAGCAAAAGTCCAACTTCTGTATCTCCCTACCGCAGATGTATCCCATTACTTGTGAATGGCAATAACGTTCGAGAGCTTCTTTCTTCTCCTAAGGCCAAAGGACAGATAAAGAAAATAATGCAAAGAACTTTGAAATGTTTATCGACATCTGCTGCTTTTAGCCATAACTCATTAGTAATGGAAGCTAGCCAAGGAGTGTTTATGAGATTATTAGTGTATATTTCTTTTCTTTAAAAACGGGAGGCAACATTCCTAAACAACCAAAGGAGGGTCCAAGACAAATTGGGCAAAAGAAACAATTTAACAAGATTTACTGAGCAGCTCAAAGGTAGTTGTTACTCTTCAACCACAATGAAAAATGAACGGAATGAAGCGGAAAGCATATAAAGTTTAGATATTAGAAATACATGTTGACTTTTGTCACAACAGCGTAATGGCAGTATGGCTGATCCAAGTTGAATGCAAAAGATGCTGAATGCTGCCGAGTTCTCTTACCTTTATCCACCACGAAAAACGCTCTTTTCCCCCCACTTCCATATGGTTTCATTATCTGAAGGGCATACTCTTTTAGTAACAATACAGCAATGAACGTCTTTCCAGCTCCGGTTCCCAGCTGTACGATTACATTGCGTTTGCAAGCTTTGTCA